GCGCACAGCTTGTGCCGTGCTGAGCTCAGCATCCTGGCCAGCCTCCATCCCAGCTGGAAGGAGGGGATGAAAGCACCAGGTCACCATGGCTTTTGTGTCGGAGCACGCTCACCCCGTGTTCTCAGAATAGTCCCGTCCTATCGGGCACAGGCACAGGTCGGTGTCACAGGAGCTGTGCCGCTGGTACAGGTTGTGGAAGGCGCCCTCTTCCACCTCCCAGGCTGCATCCCTGTGGGAGGGAGCCGGGGACAGCTGAGCGCGGTGCAAGAGGAGGTGGTGGCATGGGGGGTGCTGACCTGTCTGGGATTTTGATGCTGAGGCAAAACATCTCTGCCTTGAAGGCCTGCATGTCCTGGCAGAGCGGGCAGCAGAAGTGGTGCAGGGCAGCGCGCAGAGCTTGGCCCTGGGGAAGGCAGAACGTGAGCTGGGGGTCCGCGCGCGTTGCCCCAGAGCCGGGGATGATGCCAGGGCGGCAGGGTTGGGTGACGATGCTGTTGTGGTCTGGAGGCAATGCTGCCTACCTGCATGCAGTGGCGGTGGAACTGCACGCTGGTGCAGGAGGGACAGATGAGGGTGGTGTAGCTGGGGCGTCCCTCCACCGCCTCCAAGCAGATGGCGCACTGGGGCTGTTCCCGTTGCAGCGGCTTCACCTGCTGCGTCGGACGGTGCTGCCAGCAGAAGGACCTGCAGGATGGATGGAGGTGGCCGCTCAGTGCCCTGCCCCATTCCTCCTGCAGCCCTGCGGGTGCCCACACCCACCTGTACTCCCCGAAGAACTGGGAGACACAGCCGCGTTCTCTCCCGCAGGGGTAGTGGAAGGTGCGGGAGCATCTGCGGCAATGGCAGCGCACCGAGGCGCCCTGCTTCCGGCAGACGCAGCATTTCTGGGGACAGCAGTGCGGTGCTGGGCGTCAGTGCTGTGCACCCACAGGTGAGCCTTGCCCAGCAGAGCACGGTGATCATCTGGTGGGCCATGTAGCTAGGGACCCCGCAGCACTGATCAATTCTGATTTGTGCAGCGATGGGACTTTTCGGACAGCCAGGGCTCTGCTGGCGTCTCCCAGCCATGTGGCACAGGGACCGAGGTGGGGACACGGCGCCCTGTTCACCTTCTGTGCCACGCGCTGCAGCTCCTGCTCAACGCTGGGGAAGAGGAATCCGAAGAATCCTTCCTCGTCAGCACCGCGCTGGTACAGCCCGCTGGCGTGGTACTGCAGGAGGCAACAGGGACCTGTTACTGCATGTGGGGTGCAGCGGCTGGCACAGGGCTGGGGGCCTGGGGTTGGGGCTCACCAGGCAGTTCTCATAGATTCAGAGCCTCTCTTGATGGTACATCTCTCCATAGATGTCGGGGTCGTGCTCTGTCCGCTGGCACAGCCTGCACCCTGCAGTGGGGACAAGGGCATTATCACCCCAAGCATGTGAGCAGGGTGACACCTGCATGTGGCAGAGGCAAATCCGCTGCGGGAATGCTCTGCACTCGCCTTCCTCCTCAGAGATATGTCTCCTCTTTTGGCGGGGGAACGCACCCATTCAGGCCTTGTCCATGCCCTGGGCCGTGCTGCAGGGTGGAAGGATTGGGCTGTGGTGCCCTGAGGCACACTCACCCCCTGTTCAGAGAGTATTGCTGTCCCACCGGGCACAGGCAGAGGCTGGCCTTGCAGGAACTGTGCCGCTAGTAGAGCTCGTGGAAGCTTCCCTCTTCTTCCCAATCTGCAGATGCGTTCTCTTCCAGGACCCTGAGAGGCGTGCTGGCTGAGAATTCACGAGCACTGCCCGGTGATTTTGCAGTCCTTGGCTCCCGGCCCCCACTGCTGTGCCACCAATGCCTGCTGGATGCAGCTGCAGGATCCTGGTCAGCAGGCTGAGCCAGCGCATCTGTATCGATGCAGGCTGCTTTGGCTTCCTGCAGGGCCAGGACCGCCTGGGGCTGCACGGCACTGATTGCTGTCCTCCGGTGTGCTGCATCAGCCGGACAACTGAGCTGCCCTGTAATTTTTCTGCTGCACACTCTGCCAACATGCGTGAACGTATATGGGTTGGAGACGTTGTGTCTCGGCATCAAAAATATCCACCTTCCAGGTGTGATGGAGGTTGGTGAAGATGCTGGGCTCAGCATGGCACAAGCTGGACTTGTGGCAGTTCAGTGCCAGCCACTGGGGTGGTAGTGCGGTTGGAGGGCTGGCACCTCGCAGCGCAGGGATCGCAGGGACTGGTGGTCCCAGCAAGGCAGGACCCTGAATAGCAAACAGCCCACGGGAAGCTGTGGGCTGTCAGAAGTATGGCTGCCACTTGGCTGAGTGCACAAGCAGAGCTGGCTGTATGCAAGTGCTCCTGGGGAGTGAAACCACTGCCCACGGGAGCTGGGCTGGGTGATTCTTATGGGTCCTTGCAATTTGGATAGCCTGTCGTCAGCCAGCCAGACCTCAGCTCCGTTCCTGGGCTTTAGTTCCGGAGCAAAGCAGTGGTGCTGCTTCTTCGATCCAGAGGTACCCGGGACTGCGGGGAGCCGGGCGTGCGCTGTGTGAAACAGCTCCCCGCACAGCGGGCATCAGCGCTGCTCCTCCGCTCCCGGCAGGAGCCGCAGCCGCCACGAAGGAACAAGGGCTGCCGCGAGGGACCCGCAGCCGCCCCGAGAACCGCGGGTGCCGTGAAGGGAGGAGCCGCGCTCCTTCTCTCCACTATAGCACGCCGCGCATCCCAGGGGGCTGCGGAACCCACGGCCTCGCGGACGGGGCCCTCGCGGCGGGCCGCGGATGACCGCAGTTTCGGCTCGGAGGCGCGCGAACGACAACGCGAAGCTCTGCTGCGGAGGCACCGCAAGCGAAGCGACGACGAGCGCAGCCGCGAGCCCGCTGCGCAACGGGGCCGGGCCCTGCGAACGAAGCGCTTTCTTCGGCGCCTCGGAGAGAGCGCGGCGAGCACCGCGCGCAGCCCCGCGTCCGCACCGCCAGAGGAGCCGCGCCGCACTGACGGAGCGGCCCGGGGCGCGGCGGCGCAGACGCGCTCTGGGCGGGAGGGGCGGAGACGGCGGCCGAAGCCCCGCGGGTGTCCAATCAGCGCCCGGGGCGCGCGGCGAGGGGGCGGGGCCGGGCGGGAAAGCGAGGCGCCGCCATCTCGCGCGGGCCTGGAAGGACCTCGGCAGACCCGCACGGTGGGCCCGGGTGAATCTCAGGAGGTTCAGCGCAGCACAGCGCGAGGTTTCGGAGTGGGGCTGGAGCAATCCGGGGCAGATGTGCAGCCTGGAGGAGAAGGCCTTTGGAATAGCCCTGCACAGAGGGGCCTGGGGGTCCTGGTGGATGAGCAACTGAGCGGGAGCCAGCAGCGTGCTCTTGCAGCTTGGAAAGCAAAAGCTATCTTGGGCTCCATCAGGAGAGGGGTGACAGCAGGGACAGGGAGATGATTATCCCTCTCTACTCCGCCCTCGTGAGGCCCCACCTGGAGTACTGTGTCCAGGTCTGGAGCCCCCAATACAAGGAAGACAGGGCGCTGTTGGAGAGGGTCCAGAGGAGAGCCACAGAGATGATAGGGGGCTGGAGCACCTCCCCTACGAGGACAGGCTGAGGGAGCAGGACTTGTCCAGCCTGGAGAAAAGAGGGCTGAGGGAGGGGTGACCTCATTGCAGCTTTCCAGTACCTAAAGGGAGCCCGCAAACAGGAGGGGACTCAACTGCTTGAAAGGGTAGGTAACAGCAGGACAAGGGGGAACGGTTTGAAGTTGAAGGAAGGAAGATTCAGGTTGGGTGGCGGGGATGTTCTTTACCAGGAGAGTGGTGAGGTGCTGGAACAGGCTGCCCAGAGAGGGTGCACGTGCCCCATCCCCGGAGGTGTTCAGGGCCAAGTTGAGCGGGGCCCCGGGCAGCCTGGTCCAGTATTAGATATGGAGGTTGGTGGCCCTGCCTGCAGCAGGGGGGTAGGAGCTTAATGACTGCTGAGGTCCCTTCCCACCGAAGCCATTCTAGGATTCTATGACGCAGCAAAACAAGACTCATCCCAGCAGGCCGCAGCTCGAGAGTAGAGGGCAGCAGCGTTTCTCAAGTTCAACACAATATTTTTCTCAGTACGATGCACTCTTTATGATCCTTATCCCACAAAACCCTCTGCCCACCAGTGCTGCTGGGAGATGAAAATGGAAGGTGAGCTGGGGCCAGGCCTTGTACAGAGCAGAGCCCTGCAGCCACCCAGCTCCAGCCCCGCTAGCCCGGGTACCCCTGCAATGAGGAAGCACCAGCAGCACTTTGCTCCAGATGAGCATCCCGTGGACGGAGCTGAGGCCCCGATGCCCCAGGTGGCTGCAGCTCCCTCCCTGCTCCCTGCAGACGCAAAGCAGCGTATTGTTGAGAAAGAAGGTGAGCACAGAGGATTCGCAAAGGGGATGTGCCTCTGCCAAGTGCTGGCGTTACCCCGCTGCTGTGCTGCGGGTAGCGATGCTACCATCCAGTGGCAGTGCGTGGGCTGAGCCAGAGGGCAGACCAGGACCCCAAGAGGCGTGCTGGCAGGACAGGCTCTGCATTCACAAGCGCTGCCTGGTGACTGCCCAGTCCTTGGCTCCCGGCCCCCGCTGCTGTGCCACCCCATGCCCCCTGGATGCAGCTGCAGGATCCCGGTTCCCTCCTGGAGTAAGCTGTCGGCGCAGCTCTGGTGGTGAAGGCTGCTTTGGCTTCCTGCTGGGCCAGGACCGCCTGCGGCTGCACAGCACTCATGCTATCCTCCGATGTGCCGCATCAGCCGGTAGGGCAGCTAAGCTCTGCGCACTGTGCTGTAACGCTTCTGCTGCACGCTCTGCCAACATGTGAACGTGTAAGGGGGGGAGACACTGCGCCTCGGCATCACAGTTCTCCACCTTCCAGGTGTGTTGGAGGTCGGTGAAGATGCTGGACTCGGCATGGCACAAGCTGGACTTGCAGCAGTTCAAGGCCAGCCACTGGGGTGCGAGTGTGGTGGACCACCCCAGGGCTGGCACCCCGCAGCGCAGGGATCCCAGTGACTGCGGGGCTCTGGCTCCCATCGCTCCCCTGGACCCTGAAGGTTGCTGCTCTGCAGCTCCTGCGGTTCTTGTGAGACCCACAAGTGCTGCACTACCTTCATAGAAGACACCAGTTTTTCGGAGAGCGGCAGCTGCAGTGCTGTGGGCGCTGGTGGGAAGGGCAACACGGCCACAGAGACGTGCGCCTGCACCCTTCTCCGTGCACCTCGCAGCCCCTTCAGTATCACACCCAGCACGGGAATCCCTGCTCAGCAACCCAGCAGCCGGCACCTCGGCTCCAGCGCAAGAGGCGGTGAAGCTCCAGGGACTAAGCCAGAGCCCAGCCGCCCGCACACGATGCTCTTCGGGCTGTACGCATGTCACTCCCCCCACAAGGCAGGGACGGGCACCCAGCCGGATGGACACGGCCATACCTGACTACAGCAGATGGGGAGCAGAGCGGCCAAGACGGCTGCGGGGCCCTTCGTGGTGCTGCAGGACGTTGGCACGGTGAGCAGGGCTGGAGCTGGGTGGCTGCAGCAGGGCTCTGCTCTGCGCAGTGCTGAGCCCCTGCTGCGCTGCAGCTTTTGTCCCCCAGCTGCTGGGTGGGTGCAGGATTTCAAAGAGCGAGTGCATCATACCAAGAAAATCAAGTCAGGATCCCCAAATTTTGCTGAGCTGTGGAAGCCAGGGCTGGGGGTACAACGCCACAACTGCAACCCACAGGTGGCCGGGAGGGGATGGCGGTGTGGTTGGGCACATGTGGCTCCTGCCATCTGGACCCAGCACCGCAATGCCGCAACGCTGCTTTTCTCCCTGCAGCGTGGTCACCAAGAAGAAGAGGGAGATACGAGCAGACCTGAAGCACTTCTGGGTGCAGGCACTCCTGCAGCTATCCAGAGCAGAAAAGCTGCTCTCCCACCGCTGTGAAGGAAGTGAAAACACAGAGATGGTGCAGAACACGTCAAAATGTTTGTTGAGGACTCAGGAGCTCTGGTGCCTAAATAAATCTCTTGCACTAGGAAATTAGGGATTTTGTGGTTTATTTGCGACACGACACCGTCTTCAGGCCACACCCATGCAAGACATATGAGCTGACATGTCTCCAACTCCCCGCTGGAGCTGACAGCCACCCAGCACAGCCCCGTGGGCAGACGTGGGCATCCCAAAGCCACCCCTCAGGGCCCCCAGCACCCCGGGGAGCACTCGCAGCCCCACCGCAAGCTCTGCTCATTGTGACATCGGCACCGCGTCACCAACGCCCACGTTCTCACTGTGACATCACAATGTGCAGGGCTGTTTCACACAGCGCACGCCCGTGTCCCCCCAGTCCCGGGTACCTCTGGATCGAGGAAGCAGCACCACTGCTTTGCTCCAGAAGGAAAGCCCAGGAATGGAGCGGAGGTCTCAACACCTCGGTGCGCCACAACCCAACCCTTCCACCCGCCGCCCGGCAGCACAGCCCAGGCCCGAACGGGTGCCGTTCCCCCCAGAAATGAAGCAGTGTGTCTCCGAGGAGGAAGGCGAGTGTAGAGCATTCCCGCAGCGGATGTGCAGGTGTCACCCTGCTCACATGCTTGGGGTGATAATGCCCTTGTCCCCACTGCAGGGTGCAGGCTGTGCCAGCGGACAGAGCACGACCCCGAGATATACGGAGAGACGTGCCGTCAGGACAGCCTGTGCATCCACGAGAACTGCCTGGTGAGCCCCAACCCCAGCCCCCAGCCCCCAGCCCCGTGCCAGCCGCTGCACCCCACGTGCAGTAACAGGTCCCCGGTTGCCTCCTGCAGTACCACGCCAGCGGGCTGTACCAGCGCGGTGCTGACGAGGAAGGATTCTTCGGATTCCTCTTTCCTGACATCGAGCAGGAGCTGCAGCGCGTGGCACAGAAGGTGAACAGGGCGCCGTGTCCCCACCTCGGTCCCCGTGCCACGTGGCTGGGAGACGCCAGCAGAGCCCTGGCTGTCCGAAAAGTCCCATCGCTGCACAAATCAGAACTGATTCATGCTGCGGGGTCCCTAGCCACGTGGCCCACCAGATGATCACCGTGCTCTGCTGGGCAAGGCTCACCGGTGTGTGCACAGCACTGACGCCCAGCACCGCACTGCTGTCCCCAGAAATGCTGCGTCTGCCGGAAGCAGGGCGCCTCGGTGCGCTGCCATCGCCGCAGATGCTCCCGCACCTTCCACTACCCCTGCGGGAGAGAACGCGGCTGTGTCTCCCAGTTCTTCGGG